ACCGCACTTGTAAGGCGCTAAAATCGTATACAGAGCGCGACACTCCGCTTTAGTCTTCATTTGTTCTACTGACAGCGCGATACTGCGATGACATTACAATTTAAATTTCGAATAGGTTGACTTGGGACATTTTTTTCGTGGTTTTTGTATTAGACCCGTCGTCCATTTATTTGTAAGTCAATGATAAAAAGATTTTATTTTTCTTATAATGTATATTCGCCGACTAACTCCGTAAACGTTGGATAACAATCGTCCAAATCGTGGAGTCTACTCTCGATCTCCGTCCCACATCCGTCCGAAACAATTACTGCCAAATAAGCAATACTTCACCATATGCAAAGACGCGTGATGCGAATGAAGCTTCATACTTGATACTTGTCTTTTAATTTTGTCGAATATTACTTATTTCACAGTAATTGTTTCGGACGGATGTCGGGCGGAGATCGAGAGTAGACCCCCGTATCCGAATCCGTATCGAACGTTTTAATCCGAATGTTCTGAATAGCTCGGAAAGCGCCCTTTGATTCGAGAACGATATCCAATCGAACGATTCGGTTAAGATATCGAAGAGTTCTGAATCGGGGTCCTGGTCTCAAAACTGTGGAATCCATTTAGAGTACCAGACCAAGGAATCACTACGTGGCTCTATCCAGAAACCCAGACCGGAAACCAATTACTTACTTACTTATTATTAGAAAAGTTTGTTTCCCAAATTGGTAATCTAGGAATCGAAACCGAGACCTTCTCATTCTGACACCTACATTGCAAACCTCTGAGCCAGTGAGGTCGTCAAGGCAGTCATAGACGGAGAAAATCTGAGTTCACAAATTATTGTTTTTTATATAAATGAGGACGAAAAATACTTGGGTATTCGTCATATACAGGGTTGTTTGTAAAATACAAACAACCTTGTAGGACTATATCACTGACCTCACATACCACAACTTTTGTTCTATTACTTTTAATATTTTATTTTCATACATTACCTATTTCTACTGGCAAGCAATAATGTAAGCGTTACTTCGTTCCCGTTTTGAAGGGTAAGGGTGCTGGTAGAATTACGGGCACATGGGACTTGTCAACTTATGTCCCATGGTGTCGGGTGTAGTGGCGGTGCCCCTGAGATATTTGCGGATTAAAGCCCTAAGTGGCACTTCATCTGTTATGAACAGGCGTGTTACCTAACACCAGGTGTACGACTTGTTCGTCCTGTCACTTGATATTATAAAAAAAAATCGTTCAAAATATTGATAACTCTGTGCGATAACAAAAGAAGCGAGAGTGGGGGTAATCGGGAGTAAAAATAAAAAGTAAAAAGCGTCAGATAGTACAATAAAAACTTAACGGTTTGTTTTTGGTAAATTTATTGTTTCGAAAACGTCATGAAAGAAAAGATGTTGTTTATAATGTATCTAAATAAGTCTGGAGAGGTTGTTATGTACTCGCTTCGATGCCTTTATATTTTTGTAGATATACTCAGCCTGCGTAATAGTGGACGCGACCGCGGCGGCGGCCTTACGCGGTGCGCTGTGCGCATGCGTCCTGGAACGGTCGCGAATCTGCGTGGGGGGAGAACTGGGACTAGCTCTGCTCGACCTACAGAGGGGGGAGCTGACACCTAGAAGACAGCATGCACCTGTCGCACAGGCGCATTATGTACCTACCGAACAGTTGTTGGGTGAGTTCATACGTTCCAAGTGGATATGTGTTGTCTCTGTCTGCCTCAAATGAAAATCAAGAAGATTAGTATTGCATATTTTAAAAGTTATTTATTACATAGCTCTATTCAGAACATGCTAAGTTTTCTTTTGAATAAGATATCGAGCTTTTCGTTGCTTAAAATTTCATCAGCCCTCGTTGACATGTTTCCCACTCAAGACCATAAAGGCTTAGGGAGAGGCAGTAAAACAGCGCTGAGCGGTTTTATCACTATGCCAGCGTAGCATAGGCTTAGCCTCGGTCTTTGACTCAATTTTTTTTATATTTGTTTAAATTAGATATTGAGAAATTACTGTAGCGATATTAATATTATATATAATTTTTAAATACACCTTTTTAAAATAATTTTACATTTTAATTTTAGAATTTAAGATTTCGAAATAGGCGACTATTTTAGAAAATCAACAATATGTATGGTATTCGTATACATACGATTGAACACTACGTCTATGTATAAAGATGCAAAATGTGAAGATTAGATAATAGAATGGGGGAGCCCTTTCCTCCCGTTCCGGGCGTGTGAAAGACAGCCCCAATAAAGACCTGCGCGTGCGCAGTGGTGATCGCGGGGCGCGGGCGCCACGTGCGCCTGGTGCCGCTGCGCGCGCTGGAGTGCTCGGAGGTGGAGTGCGTGAAGGTGGCCGAGACCAAGGGCGCGCTGGACCTGGCCGCCGGCGAGCTGCACGCCGCCGCCCACGGGTTCGCCGTCGTCTGCAAGCGCCAGGTTTCGTAATTATGATAGATAGATAGATAACACGTTTATTCAGCACAAATACAAACAGAAACAAAACATTTACAATACGATTATTCGTCATTCAGAACACGTACATGGTGACCGTGTATGAGATAACGCGAACGGCCGCGCGAAGAATGCGGATCGCAGAGCTGCGGGCGCCCAGTGCTGTGCACAGCATCCAGCTGGTCCGGGGACGACTCATTCTCGGCTACAGAGGAGGCTTCGCTGCGCATTGTCTGCCTGACCCGAGACAACCAACACGAGACCAGCCTGCTGTTTGTAAGTACAATTAATTGTTTTAAAATTTTTTATTGGAGTATAACTTACATCTATTGTCTTATAATCATAGTTTAGTTTACAAGTAACTTAGTCGACAAACGACCACTTATAATCCATTTCATATAGGATGAGTTCTGTGACATTTCCATTTTTACGTTCCACGTATATTATCTCTAACTAACTTAACGAACTTGTCAACTTCTGTCACCACGCCTAAGGTTCTATCATACTGTAAATTACATATGCGACATTCTTTCAATCAGAACAGCCTTTAAATATAGTATTTTTCGTCGCGTATACTTCTCCTAGCTCCATTCAGGACTACTATAATTGTCCTATCGATACTGTGATCTAAACTAGTGGGATCTTCTGATCCCTATGATGGGCCTCCACACACACCCCTACATCCCTACCTCTGCCACCGCTACGTGCCCCCTTATATCTTTAGTACAAGTGGCGGGTCTCTATATTCAGGCTGTCTAGTCAACTAATACTGTATCTAAGTAAGTAACAAACATTGTGCAGACCTACCAACTGTAGTGCCGACCAACCAGTGCACTCCCAGCAAATGCCTGATATCTCACCTTCAGAATTTAAGATGCCTGGACTGCCGTGTTAGTTCCCTACTCTTAGGTATAATAACAGACCATTTATTAATGCTTGATATTATAAAACTAATACTACATCGCGACTTAATTCGCGATAACTTATGTATCAGGGCGCAGACGGGCGCAGTGGCAGTGGCCCTCGGGTCTTTGTCCATCACTAGGTATCATAAAATAAAAGTAATTCAGTATGTTTATACGTGTTAACATGGTGATTAACTTAGATTACTTAGTCAAAGAATACATAACGCACTTGAAACATAATGAAATATAGTATGCCAGTCATCGAGTATATAACCAGAAATAGAAACAAAATGTCATTTAATTTGTTTGAAAACTATTCTGTCAAATCATTACGGTGACAACTGCGCTCCGATTGGCCAGCCCGAATTTGAAACAATTGACGTGTATCCTCAATTGTTTCACTTCGAATCGAACAGTTTAACTTGAGTATTAATTAGTAATTTAATATTTAATTATCGATGAAATGTGATTCCGTTTGTTTTGTAATTAGATGTTTTGCTGTTTTTACCACAGCACCGAATGGGACACCCCCCATTGTTAGAGATATTGTCTTTATTACAATAAATACAGAATATTTCTGAAATATACGGTGACGTACACACACAAGTCAGTTGTTGGCGCTGTACTATACCAGTTTTCTAATTTGTGATTTCAGCGCAGAGGAGAGTTGTTATTTAAAAGTGATATAAGATCCATTTACCTGATGAGTTGCCAGGGTTGAATGGCCCTTATTTCGTCTCTATTTCTGGTTATATACCCGATGATGCCACTACACAGAGAGAAAGTAACATAAAGCCCCACGGTTTCCAGCATTGGTACACCCCGAGAACCAAGTGAACCTGTTCCTGTCGCACTCGGGCGCGCGGCCGCTGGCCTGCGCCGCGGTGCCCAATTCCACGGACACGCTGCTGGTGTTCAGTTCGCTGGCGCTCTACGTGGACCGGAACGGGCACCGCGCCAGGGACACCGAGCTCATGTACACGGCACCGCCGCTCAGACATGGTATGTATACGTTGTGCATATTTCAAGGATATTGCGTACATACCATATGCTTACCAAAAACATACTACTACACGTTTATCACGTGCTACCACATCCACTGACTCTGATAGATAAATTACGGAACAGTGTGATGAGAGAGCGTTGCGGCGTGGAAGAAGATGTAGTGACAAAGATAGAGAAAGGGATGCTCAGATGATTCGGACATGTAGAGATTTATAAGGCGAGTCTGAGCCGGCAAGTTGGTAAAGAACTTACCATGACCAAATTAAGGACGTCCTAAAGAAAGGCCAAGTCAAAAGTACCCTTAACCTACGAGCGTGTATGAAAGCACTGGTGCGTGTCGGTGAGACAAAAGATATGTATGAGGACCGTAGCAAGTGGAAGATTGTTATCTCTGCCTACCTCGATGGGGAAAAGGCGCGAAGTATAATATATGTGTGTACCACATCCATACTATCCACTTATGTTGGAGTGTACAACATTTACCGTATACGATCTCACATACGTCAAATTACATACGACACACTGGATGCATACTACACGCTTGTTATATTGTACTATTACACATGAATACTTATGTACCGTACCCGTACCACGCGTACGCGTATCGAATACGTCAAAGTTATTGCATACATACTATATGCTTACTGTACGCACACTATATGTTTATTATATATCCACACATGAATATTCATGTACTGCATACATACCATACGATTTACACATTTTTAACATTGTCACATATGACTAATTGTATACCTCGTGCATACCATACGCATACTACGGGTCTACCATTAGCATACCGCAATCATAAGTATATTTATGATTTTACTTCATACCACACGCACATCAATATACACGATAATGAATAATTTGTTACAGCTATAAACGAAACGCATCTGCTGATATACACGGCAACACATATCGATATCTATGATATCGAGAGCGGCGAGTGGGTGCAGACCATCAATATTCGTAAGTATTCAATTTTTACCCTATATTCATTTTAATGATGATAAATGAAATTCCCATACAAATATTTAGTGGACGTTGAGCACTTTCACTTATAATCTATGCAAAGTCGATATGTTTAATAACAAAACATTGCTAGGCAACCATGGTGGCTGTTTCACATCTGATTCTGGCAACGATTCTGACATTAAAACAAATTAAATTATAATTTGTTGGAATAAGGTTTAAATTTAAGTGAACGCTAGTCGGCAATAACGCAACTTATTCCGGCTGCTCGGCCGCTATTTCTTTTGACGTTATATAGCAAATTTTTACGAATGCGTAGATTTCATGTGAGAAATAGAACTCGCCAATCCGCCTTCTTACCTCACGCCGATTGGTTGAAATGCATCGGGATTAGTTAATACGCGTTTAATAGTGAATCTTTTGAATAAATGTTTTTAAGTGGTGGGGTAAGGACGCCTCGCCACTGAAAGGTTGTTGTCTAAAAATGCCTATTCACGCTAGTTTATATAATACAGTGACCATGGTTTTTGAAAACGAGTGCCTGTTTTCAGCGAACGCGCGGCCCTTGGACGAGAGCGGGTGGATCTGCTATGTGTGTGGCACCAACAACGGGTTCCCCTTCTCCAGTGACGCTTCACCCTTCCTCGTCTACCTGCGGCCGCTTCTCACGCGTTAGTATATTACATTAATTCTTAATGTTTTTATACATGTGTTCTTTGATAATAACACCTGAAAGTACATCAACGATTACTTACCATTGAAAAGCTGTCAAAATATACGCTGACTAATAAACGTTACTTAGCACTTAATCTAAGGTTCAAAATCGATCAAATCATGTTGAAAGTCTTGCTTCCTAAACTTTTTTTCTCATAGGAAGGAGTGGTCCTTTCTAGTAACGTTTTTTTTTACAAATTCATCAACTTTTAATGTGTATTTTAGCGCTGATACCGTGCTCTATTTCCTACATATTTCTGCCGCCAAGCAGTAATGTGAGCATTACTGCGTTCCGGTTTTGAAGGATAAAGGCGCTGGTGAAATTGCAGGCACATGAGACTTGTCAAAGCGCGGAGTGGCACTGCAACTATTATGGACAGGCGTGTCGCTTACCACCAGGCGCTCAAATTGTTCGTCAAATCACTTAGTATTATAAAAACAACTAGAGAACTTTAAAAAAAATACATGTACTAAGTTTTATACATTTATCTAACCGAATATAATTCCATATCTTGTTTGTTGTGAAATGTATTATGTAGTACCTGTGCAATATGCTTGATTTATTTATGGAAAGCCAAAATTTTGGTCACGTCCTTCCTAAATGGGATTTATTCCCATTACCATCTCATGCACTCCTTACTTTTTTCACTTACATGGACCCCTTGTAAGGTAGAGTAAAGGTATAGGATAGGGGTCGATATAGACCACAATGAGAACCACTTGCGTAGTCCTACGTTCTTATTTAATTCTTCGGCCTTTAGACACCCACTGCTGAGTGTAAGCCTCCGCATTTGCCCGCTATCTTTTCCGAACCTAGTGCTTTTAATTATAGTTTGTTAATGCAAAGAAAGATTTATTTCGAGATCATAGTGACGCACTTACCGGACTTAGGTATGGACCTAATCTCGCTGCAAAGAAGGATGGCGAAAGCTGACCCAAAATCAACGAAGTGCCGTTCATGGACTTTGCTATAATTTTACGTTTTAGTTTATTAATATATTTTTAGAGGTCTGAAATAAAGAAATTGCAAAGCAATGTATTTTGGAATACAGGTAGATGTTAGAACACAACGCAATCGATTCAGTTCGACCGTAAATTAGGTAACGTCCTTGTACGTAAGTTTCATTTTAAGCATGACTGAATGTTTACCTATACATACACACATAAAACATTAAAGCTATAAAATACCTAATCAAATAATCAATTAAACAATAATGACATAAAGTAAAAAATAAAGAAATGTGACAAAAATATTTAGACAATAAATATTTAAGTGAGAGGCCTCTTGCCAATGTCAATGTCACTTTGAGATTGAGAACAGTGTACCTTTGTTTCAAATTTCTGCCAATTGGGCAGATTTAATTTCTATTCATTTTCATTGCAACAGAACATGTTAACGTTGTATAAATGCAGAGTTCGGCAGATTTAGGAATATTCAGCAAGTTCTTTATTATTTTTAGGAACAAACTGAAAACACGTTGTTTTCTGCTACTAAGGACAAACATCTGGAGCGAAATACAGGACAATGTTATAAACATTACCTGTATCAACTTTATAACCCCAGCTTCTACAGGCTGTACTCAATTAGCTTTTTTGATGCATTGATAATGAATCACAAGTATTAATAGGTCTCTTTAATGCACGTCATCTTTTGATGACACTGGGTCACTAAATAGTAGACATGAGCACCGATAATAGACCAACCGGCGGCGGCGCGCCGACAAAAAAGTGTCAGCGGCGGTGGCGTTTCGGCGGCGCGAGCGCGACCCTAAAACGAATTTGTATATCGGTGTTTGTGTTTACAAAAAGCGTTATGCAAATAGTTTTTCAAAGGAAAAAATAAAATAACGTATTTTCCATAGTAATCAAATTTTTATCAGTTCGATATTTTATCAGATCGATCGGAGGATTTATCAGAGGAGGAGAGGACCTGCGATTGTAAGCACGCGCACGCTTCCATGTTGTGTATGCGTAGTGAAAATGGCGACGCCAGAAATTGACAAATTAATTTTTTAAACAAAAAATCTTTAAATATAAAATCACTGACTAACTTTTGTCGCTTATCTATGTCACCTCTGCTGAGGCCGGAGGCGTGCCGGCTGGCCTATACTGCAGATGACAAGGCAAATCTTTTAGCCTCACTCTTCGCAAAGAGTTCGCGTCTGGATCTAATCGTACCTCAGCCGGGCTGCACGATGGCGCCAATTCGCATACGCCAAAAAGAATAAGTAGTAAGTACTTAGAACTCTGCAGAATCTAGACGTGAATAAAGCTAGCGGGCTAATTAGATTTCCAGCACTAGTCCTACGTAACTGTGTGCCTGAGTTGTCTCCTGTTCTCAAACGCCTACGCCTGTACCGCCTCTCCCTTGAGACTGGTGTAGTTCGCAGGTCGTGGAAGCTTGCAAACGTGCAACCTGTGCCGAAAAAGGGAAGCAGAGCTGACTCTGTCAACTATAGACCTATCTCAGCACTTCCGTACACTGCAAGACTATGGAACGTGTACTCAACAATCGTATTGTCGTACCTTGAAGACGACGACCTCCTCAGTGATCTCCTGTACGGATTCCGACGAGGGCGATCAACTGGGGATCTTCTTGTGTATTCCTGTCACATATAGAGCTAGGCTCTAGAAAAGCAAGGTGAAGCACTTGCAGTGTCTTTGGATATTTCTAAAGCCTTTGACAGGGTCTGGTACGCAAACTTTTTGAGTAAACTTCCCTCTTATGGGCTTCCGACTGACCTTTGCAATTGGATCTCGGATTTCTAGAACGAACTTTCGATTCGAGTGGTCTTAGAAGGCAAACATATGGAGATAGATTCCTCAGGGTTTCGTACTGTCTGCAACTCTGTGCTGCATTTCAATGATATGTTAATTCCAGGTACCTTTGCGTATGCTGATGATAACACAGTTGTAGATAGGTACTTGACCAATGCAAGGGTCATTGGAGAGGAAATCCAGTCTTGTCGAGAGTCTCCAATTGGGGCGATGCCAAATTTAACGTTACCAAAACGCAGGCGTGTCTATTCTCCACAAAACGGCGTCCCTTTGAACTGACTCCGACTTTTCGTGATATACCTATCCATACCGATAGCCGACGGTCTCCAGGTACTTGGAATGGACCAGTTGTCCAATTTGTATTTCGGCATATGCATTGAATCTATGGCCAAACGTGCAGCAAAGAAGTTTGGGATCCTTTCCAGGGTGAGGCGTTACTTCACATCGGGACAAGCACCATATCTTTCTACGTTAGTTTTGATTATAGTGACCTACCTACCCTTATTAGGGCATACGGGGCGTATGAGAAGGACATTATAACCTGTGCGCGCACAGGAACCTTACAAGTTCAGGTTCTGACTCCAAATCAGCCAGTGTACCTGCTTCTCACAGACCTCTGTCACTTGACTTCATCCGGTTCTTCGAGAGGCTAGTGCCTCGGGTGAGCCGCCCCGGGTGCACGTACAGTACCCTTCCTATTTTTCAGATAGCTACCGGAGCTGTAGGCACGCTCACTTCCCGTTGCGCATTGCCTAACTAGCAATTGCCTCCGCTAAGCCGTCGACTCTGAGTCCACTACCAAATCTCCTCATTGGTGGCGGAGCTGTAAGGTACGCTCGCTTCCCGACGCCGAAAAACGACGTCTCTCCAGTTCCCAATAACCTAAGCGGCTGGAGGGATCGGAGGATATCTAGCTTATCCTCTACTAGCTCTCAGTGCTAGTGCCGGAGATGCCAGTTACAGTGTCCTTCGACAATGTCCGGACATAGCTTCCAACTTAAAGGGCAATTGACGTGGCCCGCGCATCTCCTCGCATACAGGCCCTCAACTACACCGCTACTAAGACGCGCTGGCTGCTCACGAGACTGACGCCCCGGACACATGCAAAACCGGGGCAGACAAACATGTCCGTCTCTGCAGCTAACCACAAACCCCAGCGAGTCCATACCCAAGTCCGGGTCCGCCAGAGACGCCCGCAAAGGCGTATCACTGGCGGAGGGCTTGGCCCGGACGCCCGCTGTACCCTGGTCTTGCCGTCGAGCCCGTAGTCTCTCCGGAAAACCCTATCTCTCGGGTCGGTAGCTAGGGACATCTCGGGTCGGTAGATAGGGACAGTTGCTTCAATTGTTTTAAGCATAAGTCCAGTCGTGTATGGAGTACTGTTGCCACCTTTAGGATGGCTCTGTTACATACCAACTGGCCTTTGACCCTACTAACCTACGACTAACCTTTGATTCCATTGACAACCGTGACAAGAAGAGGTGGCACGGAATTAGTGGAGGCGAAGCTGCAGAGCCTTGAACACGCCGTAAAGTTGCCAGCTTATCGGTAATATACAGGATATATCATGGAGAGTGTGCGATGGAATTACACGATTTAATTCTGCTTTCTCCTTTCCATCACCGGGGGACTAGCCGTAGACTTGGGTTCCACCTCTACGTTGTGGATATTCCAAAGATTTTCACGAAGCGTTACGCTTCCACATTTACATGGCGAACGGCTATGGAGTGGAATTCCCTGTCTGCAGACTTGTTCCCTGCACATTATAACTTGGGCCTTTTCGTGCCAAAAGTGAATAGGCATGGCATTCATCTATCGTCGACCTCATCGTCACTTTCCATCGGGTGAGATGAAGGTCAAATGTGAACTTACATTTTATAAAAAAAAAAAGTTTTATCTTAGAAAAGTCATTTTCTGGCGTCGCCATTTTTACATACACAATACAGAAGAGTGAGCGCGTGCGTACGATCGGAGCGCCTGATCGAACTGAACGGCGCGCCGGCGCGGCGCGCATTTGTACTAAATAGACGGGATGTCGCCATCCTTCTTTGTTTTGAAAAGTATTACCACCACAGGTCTTAACATTGTCCACAGAGGGCCCATTGAGCATGGACCACGCGTCGCTATGGGGTACGGGCAAACGAAGATTCTCTATTAGAGAACAGAGCCATCAGGCGCAAGAAGCACACAACAGATTGTAAGTACATTGAGAGAAGAACAAAAAGTCATATTGTGGTAAAAACCTATAACTAAAGTCTGTCTTTTTTGAAGACGGAGTAAAATGACATTTGTCCGGTTGCCAGTTTTTACAAAATTTTAAATAGTCATGTAGGTCTTGTCGATAGTTTTATCGATAGATTGTGAAATTAGATACAATTTTGCCAAAAATTACTGAATTGTGAATGTTACGACGCTTTAATGATTACTAATTGCGTTATTGCCTCCTTTTTGTTATTTTGACAGTTGGATTACATTATATAAATTTTAACAACAATAGCCCTATTTACATATATTGAATTAAAATGAAAAACTTTAAAATGTGTTTCCTCTTTGTATGTATGAACTTACAAAAATTAATAATTCAAATGAATTTGTGTTCAGTAATTGGATGAATAATAATGGGTCGAGGATGATTCAAATGAAACAAGATCGGCTATTTATTCCATAAGCGTGGCCAATATTCAGTCGATATTCGATAGAATATTTATCGACTGCCATCACTAGCTGTTCGCAAGCGGTGAACTGTCTTATTTTACTCCGTCTTCAAAAAAGACAGACTATAGTGGTAATTTATCACCACCATTTCACCGTCACACGTCCTCTATGCACTGCAGATCGGAGAGGCGCTCGCGGTTGATTTCAGCTCCAACGAACTTTGCGCACCTGTCGCACATGGGGCCAGGTGACGGCATCCGCTCGCAGCGACTGCTGGACCTGCCCACTACGGTTGAGACTGCCGATGATCAACCACAGGTATATATTTTATCTTAATGTCATAAATAAATAACAAAAACTATGTATACGTTGAGATTTTAGGACACAATTTTTTAAATAATAATAATAGCCAAATCACAACAAAAAAAATTCTCCAAAAAATTTCCTGATTTGAGAGCAGGTATTGCTCTCAAATTAGGAAATTTTCTGTGCTACCCAGAACAGCACATATTTAGAAAAGTTAGTTTCTCAAATTTTTCGCATTGAAAATCGAATTTTCGGTGTCAACTAGGGCTTTCAGACTCGCTGCATTTCCACATCCCAGAAAAAGCGAGAATTTCAAAACTGTTTTAAAAGTTCATACATATAGACCAAACAATTAGGCAGTCAAAACGTGAAATTTTAATTAAATTCTTCATTAACACAAATTATAAAATGAAAAATTATTTATGAAAGTTTTTTTTATAGTAGGTATTTAAGAAACATAGGACGTTTAGTATAGTTTCGGATAGAGAGGACCTTATTTTGTTACTACCGTTCTTCAATCTTCACAAACTATACTAAGCTGCACTCTACAGTGTTGTGTGTTGTTGTAGCCTACATAAAAAAATAACTGATGGTTTAGTATATTTTCAATACTTTTAGATTAAATTACTTAAGTTTTAAAAGTCGATATTCCTGTGACTGAAAACGTCAGTCTCGAGTTTCGGAAATGCCAAGAAATTGTCGAGACTCGTCATTTCCGAGACACGAGATTCCCGGGATGAAAACCCTAGTGTCAACCGAGTCGGGATCACCGAGGTCATCAAAATGTCTTTGAATGGATTCTATGACGATATTTTTGAAACTGTGAACAGTTGGTATTTGATAACAGCCCTTGAAAAACGAAAAAAATTAAATATTCTTCGCGTTTTAGAATGCCGAAAAATCCAAAACAAAAATCTTTAACAAAAAAATTCATATCAGAATTTCGACAACTCGATAACTTGACCCGTAGCTCAGTTGGTAAGAGCGGATTCAAGTCCCATCGGGTCGAAAAAGTTTTTCTGTGTTCGGTATTTGTGTTAATAATCATAATAAAATCATCCTTTTAACCGACTTCAAAGAAAGGAGGTGGTTTGAGAACCTCAAATCGTCTGTAATTTTTTTTTTTGTGTTTGTTATGCGATTACTCAGACATGTGTGAATCCATTCTCAGAGAAAAAATTAAGGAGACTGGTATCATGACTGTGGCATCACAGTACATTTACTCAAATATCTTGTATGCCCGTAAAAATATATAAAATTTCGTTAAGAAATAAGAAATCCTTAATATTAACCTTATAACTAAGTCCAAACTCATGGTACCACGTTTTTGTTTAACTAAGGTAAACGGTTCTTTTATGGGGAAGTTTAACTAAGATTACCCTTTCCTAAGTTTAAAACTTACATCAAAAATATTTTAATTGAAAAGTCATATTACAATATTGTAGACTAGGTGTTAGATAAAGATGTAAGTTATATAGAAAGACAACTTGAGCCTAGATTCCACACAAATATGAGTCAAAATGTATTCTATAGCATTTAAGTTTATTTAAAAGAGCAATCCCTAGAGTTTCTTGCTCGATCTTCTCAGGGAACTCAGCGTAGTGAACGAGCAGTAGATTAAAAGTGACGTTTGGAGATGTAAATTTGTTTTACCCTATGGAAAAAATGATTATTTACCTTTGACTTTGATTTCGATGATTCTTTTTTGTTGGAAAGTGGGTACCTTAGTAGCGGATTTAAAATACCCACCCTAAGGTGGGTAATTTAAATCCGGTTTGTTGGATTTCACCCACTTTCCGTTAACCAATATCAATAAAACCAGGCAATTAGATGTCATTCCACAAACTTTTGAGGATTTTTTTGTATTTCTAGCAATTGTACAGCAGTAGAGAAAGCAGTAAGCGAACGTCACCCCTTACAATATCGCATGGCACCGGCTCGTATAACGGTAAGTTTGTGTTGAATATCTACTTAGTAGTATAGTGATGTAATGTAAGTGTCGCAACGGAAACTTGGGGTCCAGTCCCGTCCTCCATCCGACATTCGGCCGAAACAATTACTGTCAAATAACTAATACTCGACCAAATCAAAACACATCTCAAGTATAAAGCTTCATTCGCAACATGCGTCTTTTGTTTGGTCGAATATTACTTATTTCACAGTAATTGTTTCGGATGGAGAATGGGAGTCATCGAGTATATAACCAAAAATAGAGACGAAATAAGGCCCATATATTCCTGGTAACACATTAGCGATACAGCTCTTATAAGTATCAAATCTCGTTTACACTGAAATGTAGGCAGGCCAACTACTGACCTGTGTGTACGTCTCCGTATATTCCAAAAATTTTCTGTATTTATTGTAATAAAGATAATATCTCTAATAATGGCGTGCAGTTCCATTCGGCGCTGTGGAGAAAAACAGCAAAACATCTAATTACAAAACAAACGGAATCAAATTTCGTCGGTAATTTTTTTTAAATAACGCACACACTCAACATAGCCCCGCACTAGGGTAACCCTGTATCGCGGGTGCCATGGACACACACATAGACAACCACAAATTACACCCAAATTCTGAGAGAAATAAATGTAGGCCATACCAATATTTCTCTCGGCCCGGGAATCGAACCTGGGACCTCTGCGTGGATTTAGTAACCGTTCGGCCAAATATTAAATAATGTAATGTTGAAATTTTTGTCCATTATAGCAACGCTCAAGTTAACTGGTCGATTTGAAGTGAAACAATTGACGACACCCGTCAATTGTTTCGAATTCGGACTGGTCAATCGGAGCGCAGTTGTCACAGTAATGATTTGGCAGAATAGTTTTCAAACAAATTAAATGACATTTCGTCTCTATTTCTCGTTATATACTCGATGATGGGAGTAGACTCTCAGAAACGAAGATGTCAAAAGTAAATCTTAGCGAAGAATTGTTGCGCTTGTGTTATTTGGATACCTAAGATACAAGTAAACAATTTACTTAGTTTAGGTCTCACCTAGATTAACTAGCACTACTAACCTTAATTACAGTTATGTAAACATACAATAATTTCACTGTTTGCGATAGTCTGGCGCACATGTAAATAAAGGGTTATTTAGTAAGATTCATGTATTTAGGTAAAATTTTTGTACAGAATAAATTTATCTTTACTTTTTTTTTATTTCATCCATTTCGTGCGGTGGGAGGGTGTTAAAATTAACTTTATGAAAAAGTATTCAACACAAGCACAGTAGTTTTGTACGATTTTACCTTAACTGGATTCCTTGAGTAGCAAATTATTTACGTCCATTTTAATTTATCCTCATCCTATTTAAGAGCCAAGCTCTTGTCGGTGTAGCTTCCTCCACTCTTCACGGTTCATAGCCATCCTCCCTTGATCTCTCTATTGCTGCTCACTTTGATCTTGTTTATTTGTTTACTATATTCTTGGTGTTCGTCTCTTTTTTTTCCCTTTTATTTTCCACTTAATTATGACTCTCACGAATTCATTATTACGTAACGTTACGTAATATTGCCCCTTCTGTTCTTTTTCTCCATTTTTCTTAACTTTTATTAATAAAAAAAAAAAATTTTATTAATAAAAATTAATAAAAAGGCATTGCAGCTAAGTTATTCCGCCTTATACTAGTCAAGAGTTTGCATCTCTATTACTCTCTATTACTATTTTTTTATTTGTTATAAAGCAAAACAAAACCTAGCTAATTGGACGTAGTTAAGCAAAAAGGATCCCATCCACAAAATTATCAAAAAATGAGTTATATGTGTATCAAACGGTTCCTAAACTCTAATCTCTTAGATCAGCAAAAAAACCAACATATAAACATACATAATAAATATCTCTGGAGTTACATGATATTATAAGTTTTGAAAATAAAACAAGAGTGAGAAACACTTTTAAACTTCAAACTGCCATATCTTGAAAGTGGCTGGATGTGCATTGAAACCTTTTTGTTTAACTACGTACTAATAAGCAATTATAATTTAAGATAATTTCCTAAAGCAAAAGTAACTTATATAAAGAAATTGTTCATCGACAAAATATGTTTTAATATTAGTTAAGTGAAAAACACTTTGTTTGTGTGTTCATAGTCTAGTTAATATTTAACGCCCAAAAACTGTAGCCTATATAACTTAATAACAACCTATAGTCCGTCTTTTTTTTAAATGGAGTATAATGACAGTTCATTGTGTAAGTGTTGCCCGCTTGCAAGAAGCAAATATGTGAAGGAGACATATTTACTAGTTTTTCGTTTTAATTCAATGAAATTCGCCTCTCCTTGTTAAAATGTATATGAATAAAAAACGATTTGGATCCTAGTAGGCCAATTGCCAAAATAAAAATGAAGAAGACTAACATAATTAATAACTTTTAGAACGTACGTAATTCCGAATTTTTGGCAAAAGTTTTACCTTTCACAATATATCGATAAAACTGTCAACAACAACTACATGACTATTAAAAAAATTATGAAAACTGGCAACCCCGCAAATGTCATTTTGCTCTGTCTTCAAAAAAGACTATAATATGGTAATTTTATTGTGTGGCAGGTTCGTGGCGTAGCGTGTCTCGTCCTCGCGAGGGCCCTCCTGCAGCCCCGTTGGACGCACCGCCCTCGCCGCCATTACCGCACCACAGACCCATGGAGAGGTAATTATTCATTACATTTAGAAACTCTTATATAATTACGCCAGGGCCGTTTCATAAGTAAATACACTCATATTTAGAGGAATGCTAAAAAAAGTATAATTGTGATAACAACGTTCATATGGACCACTAGAATGTTTAATCTAACGTATAATATCGGCCTGTCTATATTTCGTTTTTTTTTAGAATTAGAAAAACTGTAAACAAGGAAGTTGCAATCGTAATCATCTTTCTTCAAAAAGAAAACATCGTGAGAATGATGACAAATGACATTTTCAATACCTATACACGACTATTTTAAGAAAGTCTGTTTAATGTTGGGACCTCTGTTCCTTTAAGTATTTTATAGAGCAAGTTTTCGAAATAGAGTAAGATAGAAAAAATAGAAAATGTTAATTTAATCTTTACATTACAATCCTTGTACAACCCTAGCATTCGGTTACGCACGACTGCACAGGGCGGGCAACGTTGTTTTCACCTTCCTGTGCGCGTTCTTAGGTTCTTTTTTTTCTTGTATTGAGAGCCTAGTGTCATTAATCAGATTTAGTAGGCTATTATAGCGTAGGTATTTTCAATTTAGTATGAGAGTAACGTATATGTTAGGTTGTAACTATTGATTAAGCTGTGGTAATGGTGGGTAGAGAATCCCTTTAAAAATATCAGTCTTTTCAAGGTCACGCAAAGTCTACTTTATTTCAGATCAATCGGCGGTGGGTCTCAAGGCAGTGGGTCGTTGTTATTAGAGCGGTCGATTACGCCACTCAGCCTTGGCAGCATGAGCTCGCTGCACGATGTACTTAAAGTGAGTCTACAATATTGCATCGTGGGCGATCTAACTCTATAGTATATATAGTTGGCGCAATATTATTTACACCAATTTGTCTTATCGCTTTATTTTTTAATACAACACACGTAACGCACGTGCTATTTGTACAGTGCAAACGACTAGTTTGAACACTTATTTTTGAATTTGATATTCTTTATGCGGGGCTAACTATGTTCAATTAGTAAGAAAAGAGTCGGCAGTCGGAATTTTACGATCTAATTAAAGGTTTAAAAAAACGACCTGATTTAACTAGAATCTAGATCAAAACTAGAATTCACAAAAAGCATTTAGAGTATCCATGACTCGTACGGTGGAGCAAGATCATTATGTCCATGTACGCTTTTAGTAAAAGAAGTGTTAATGGTTTTATTACCCTATTGTAATAGAAAAGATAAGCCGTTCCAAGAGATGACATTCATCGGTGCAAGTGATACTTCATCAACTACACCAGTTAAGATGTATCTTTAACTAAAAGTAATTAAAAATTAGTTAATCTTTAATTAATCAGATGGGCAGTGAGTTAAAACACAATCAACCCGCCCGGTTTTAACCGGGTTTTTACCCAAAGCTGTTTAACCCATTTCTGCCCAAAATCATGGGCAGAAATGGCCAATACGGAATTTGGTGTAACCATTTTTTGGACTGTTTTATTGTAATGCGATTTTCAAGCAAATCGATTCACTAGAAAGGCAAATCGACACATCTAAATCAGAAAGAAATAAACAGTTTTGTAATATCATTAAAATTTGAACAATATTTGATTTACAATAAATATTTAGTGTAAATAGGGTTTGCCCTCCATTGCGGCCTTTAATCGATTTTCACCAGATTTAAAAACCCGGGCTCTTGCCCATCTCTGATAATGCCAACTAACACAGTATAATCACAAAAATTGCGTTATATGTAGTGTTGTCCCGTCACTTTTACATTAAATCATATTAGAATGACATATCGTCGGGGATAGTGCAATTACGCGTAACTAGCATTGGATTATGAGTTTTCATTTCAGTAATTTAGTGTCGAAATCAAGTTCGTCAAATGTCGTGGTAACCAAATTAGCGTGATTTACGGGAATCTATTGTTATGAGTCCGTAGACAACATAATGCTTACAGTGCAAAGATGAAAGTCGTAGCTATTGAAATAATAAAGTAATAACGTTAAATCCCTTTCCAGTAAAATTTGGTTAACTGCAGATACGCGCCGTTAAATCCGCCCTCTATTGGCTCTGTTGAACTTTCATAGACGGACACCATTCTTCGAAGCCCTAGCCGTAATTGAATCCTTAAGTAGAACAAATGATATTGACATGTTCAGCAACACTGAATCAAAATTTCTAACATGCGCTGATCACTATTTGGGCGTCCAAATAGTAATCACCGCCCGAAGCTCTGTGGTCCAAATTCCGCATCCTATCTTTGCCTGGTGATTGTGACTCAACCTTTTTTGTGACTATGACTTACTATATATATAATAAATCCCACTCCTGTAAAATTGTGCATATAATTATGTTTTGAGATAGCATGCAATTGTATTGACTCAATAAAGAACAATTTCAATTTGGTTTACTGCAGATACGCGCCTTTTACCAATGCTACATACGCGTATTTGCACTATCCCCGACGATGTGTACATATAAAACAATTTTTGAGATAATACTATGTTAATGGTCATGTACGTATCTTAAAAAACATATTTTCACGTTCGTCAAATCAACAAAACATCGAACGAAGCTTTATCATTTAAATTCAATAAAGAAATAAAACCTTCAAACCAAATTACGTGCTGCTAGGAATCAAAAAAAGCAAAAGCTAAAAAAAAACCTATGTTCAACAGTGAACGTCGTCCGGCTGATATGGTGATGATGATCGAATTTTGAAATGTCGTAAGCGACATTTTGTAGTAATGAACATTTTCCATTATGACAAAATATTCCTTACGACATTTCAAATTTCCGCCGTCGAATGGTTGTAAATAAATATGTAAACGTATTTAAATTTACAGTGTAAAGTGATGGTGCTGTTAGTTTGAGCAGTTATATAATAAAGTTGTAAATTTATTTAATGAGAACGAATTTAAAGAGAGAAAAATTTCGGATATTATATATTTGAAAAAAAATCAGGTCGGCACCGAGCCTGGCGAAGGCTTGCATTCAGAAGACTCCAGCTGCGGTGCTTCGCCGCCTCATCCGCTGGATCCCTGATGGTAAGGAAGTTATATATGAAATTCTCTCATGACATAGAGTGTTGCGATTCCATCAAGTCCCAACATAATAAAGTATTTAAACAGAAATAGAGACGAAAAAAGGGCCATCCATCTCTGGCAACTCATCAGTTAAATGGTACTGATATCACTTTTAAATATCAACTCTCGTTTGCACTGAAATTACAAATTACAAAGCTGAAATAGTACAGCGTCAACAACTGACCTGTTTCTACGTCTCCGTATATTCCAAAAATATTCTGCATTTATTGTAATTAAGATAATATCTCTTAAGTATGTGGGGCTGTTCCATTCGATAGTGTGGGCAAAACAGCAAAACGTCTAATTACAAAACAAACGGAATCACATTTCATGGGTAATTAAATACGTAATTTGTTCAATTTTCCTCCATTATAACAAAGCTCAAGTTAAACTGGTCGATTGAAGTGAAACAATTGACAACACCCACATCAATTGTTTCGATATCGGGCTGGCTAATCGGAGCGCAGTTGCCGTCGTAATGACATGGCAGAATACTTTTCAACCAATTTAATTGACATTTCGTCTCTTATTTCTGGCTCGATGGACCAGACCAAAGGCCCCCTTTATACAGTCGCGCGTGATCAGGAGCGCACTGCCGTCCGCTAACTAAAAGGTACTGACAGAAGAATTTTTTGAGATAACAAAAAAAACCATAACCCTGTTTAAGAATATTGAAATTGTTCAATGATATTTCGGCAATACATCGTTATGGTAAGTCGAACACGTTTACTAATTTTAACTGTTTTTAAAAGGGAATTTTGTGATATATTTTTTGTTATATAAAACGGTTATTTCGACCCCTCCAACGTAAAGTATCGTATGTCGAAATTGCCAAGTTTACAGGGAAGCGTTTTAAAGTTGTCCGTTTTATTCGGCAAAGCTCGTTACTCAAATAGAGTGATCATCTAATACATCATCTAACCGATATCTAGGATTTTATAATACTCTATGTGAGTAACGAGCTTTGTCGAAAAAAACTGAGAAGTCACGTGTTGTGCTTATTTCAGTGAATTCAGAATATTTAAAAGGCTCCTCTATAAAATTGGCAATTTCGACATACGATACTTTACGTCGGAGGGGTCGATTTGATCATTTGTCACTTAACCGCGTTTTAGATAGTGGACGGCTGCGTACAGGATTGCGCAATTACCTGCGTGAATTTTTTTTAAGCTAACGTTCTTTCACGCGCGATTGCTCGTGTTCGTTTTTGTTACAACTAAAAGAGCGTCCGTGTAAAGGCTAATAGTGCAGGATAGACCACGTGAAACTGGCGCGTGTTGGAGTGCGCGATTGCGGGCACAAACGCTCGGTATTTCCCTTTTCCTTCCAACGTCTTTACACGCGCGCTCAATCGCGCACGATTGCTGTCACACGCTATAGAGTGTCTGTGTAAAGCCCGCTAATATCGTCTAACTTGAAACCCAGTTTGAATTTGTGAATGAAAAATCATATCAAATATTCTAGCTTTCGAAACCATTTCGCTGTTTCAATTTCCTAAATATTGCTGTTCGAAAATGTAGGTTCAACCATTTTTGACGTCTGACTGACCTTAGATTGTTAAGCGATTTAATCGTTTAAACTTAAAACCTAGTCTGAATTTGAGAGTGAATATTAAAATCTTATATTTCATCCTTTTTCTGACTAAGAACTAGTCCATTATCCACCGCGACAGTTATTGTGGAAGTTTCTCCAATATGTAGATTTTTCTACTTTCTAATAAGTTCACCATCTTAGTCAATATTAAAAATTTGCCTCTTTTTCAGAATCGAAACGAATTCATGGACTCTATCCATGTCTCCTTTCTACGCTTGTTTCTGTTGAGACTCGAGGCTACACACACCGTATGCTATGTATATTAAAATTATATCACTGTTTATATGGAATATCGCGATCATACTGAATGGGAGACAACTGAAATGGCTCCATTTGAAATATTCCGTAATCAGACGGTCACACGTTCGAGCGATCTCGAGGTTACTCCCTATTTACTGAATCTCGTATATACTAACGGCGTTAAATCTTGTAACCGCCAAGGGCGCTGCAAAATTTGCCGTAGATGCTAGTGTTTTAACAATATGTAATCTCATGGTAGGGATACTGTTTATTGAATCCCATACACTGACTGACGCGGACTCGCGAAACTCTTGAATGTGTGACCGCCTTCTGTCGGTGGAATCACGGGTTATTTGTTTTGTATAACTTTATGATTTTTTACATTTATTTAGCGTTTTACTTTGGCATGAAATTGTTAACTATGCCCAAAATCGACGACGAGTGTAACGCCTGCAGAGGTAAAACAATATTCTCGTTGTTGTTATTTGCTAACAAGTTATCTGTGACGTAAAAAAGATGGAGCTAACTCTGCTTGACTGTTCAAGCACGAAGGACTGTTCCTTTACTATGTTTTTGTAACACTGCGTTGAAACTTGTCATTCAATGAGCATCAATCATGTCGCAGAAGAAAACTCGTTAATTGGACGCTACGTCCAAAATTTACTATAGAATCCAGTGTATTTAATTCCTTTATTAAATTAACTACGTCGTAAATACTATAGAAAAATTAAATTATTTTTGTTCTACTACTACAGTATTACTTTTTTTTTAAATTATGTTTATTATCTCTAACATTTCGATAGAAGTACTTCAATCTAAGGTCATGAAACAAATAAAAAAAAGAATACCGGGGCCACTTATATCAGAAAATGGCACTTGCGACAATCCACTGCTTTTTATACGGTCGCTTATTCAGTGTGGTCGAGATATTGATCGCTGGAGATTAGCATTAAAAAGTTTGAGCAATTTTATGCGAATATTAACATTTGGTTCCTAAAAGATTGTTTGACTATAATTTTATTTGTAAAATAATAAAAATGTACCTTCCATTTAATGATAATATTAAAACGGGCCGTAAACATTTTTGTGGCTAATGATTACATTTAGTTTCGGTCCGAACACGTGGATTCGTCAGTTTGTGCACAGGATGAAAGCAGAAACCGAATGAAGATTCATTCACATTATTGGTGATTCAGGGTATTTAAAATTGAACACCAAATGCATGCAGATAATATAGAATTTACGTGGTTTTTTTGCGGATACCGGTATCAAAATATTTTACCGGTACTGGATACATTTTGTGTTTAATTTTGCATACACTGTAACGCGTATAACGGCTATCTGTTAGTTTCTGGTCAAAACAGGAAAATGAAAAAAAAGTCCGATTTTAATATGGCAATAAATATCTTTGTAACTGTCAAATATTGACTTTTATAGATTTTTTTTGTCATAATTTGTCCTAAGACGAGACTTAACTTTTTCAAGACTGAATTCAAAATGGATGCTAGAATTTGTAATTATAGCTTACACTTGTTTAGCTCCTTGTGTTCGTACAAAATAAATTTCTGAAGTGGATGTTCGGGATTGCTGACGAATCTCTTAGGTATCGGAATTTTCTCAATAAAAAGGGTCCTAAGTCTTGATTGGTTTAGGTAATCATTAACCACTAAGTGAAGTGCCACCCTTAAATAAAGCTAGATATAAACCATGTGACTTGTAGGTCAATTAGTCTCCGATTGTATTCTCAACGTGTACTTTATTAAACTCAAGTATAAGCATAACAAAATAGGTACCGTTCTTCGAAATAATCAAAATACATATAAAATGTAAATATGTAATAACTTTTTTTTTATGAAAGCGTAGCGTTTTTATACCAGAAGGTCCGGAAACAAAAGTATACAAACTGTCAAATTAAGGTTATTTATAGCTGATAACAGTTGACATTCCATAGCAAGCTTCCTCGTTAATGAATTTTACATTTTTTTAATATGTGACACTTCTATATAATAAATAACTCATAGCCATTATGTATCAAAGCGGTGCGTAGGAGAGCTATACTTCTAGTCCAATAGTATGCGTATTTTTTAACTAAACGTGGTGAAGATAATGGACCTTATGAGTACAAGCGATGGTGGAATAGTATAAATCTACTACGTCGCAGACAGTTGCTAAAACATCATTGCAAGAAAAACGTAACATCCGTTACTATTATTAGGGCATACTTCTTTTAAATATATATTTATTATGTAAAAGGGGAAGTGAGACGTTAGTGTGCATGATGAATTAACCAGAAATAGCGGAAGCTGAAATTATTTAACATAAATTACAGACGAAGTTAGTAAAGGTTATTTATGTTATTGTTGATAAATGATTAAAAATATGTACCTGGATGTAGAATAATAGACGTAATACTCGTAACGAAGTGACATGCGCCATGAAATGACTAAATTCCCATTGAAAGTGTTACTAACATAATTACTGCAAAATGTCTTAAATTCAATATTGCCTACGTAAACATGAAGCAGTAAGTACATATTTAATTTTACAGTGTTTTTATAAGACGATATGAATTTTCATGATATAAAAATCTGATTCTCAATGACAGTAAATATATTTTAGCAACACTCGAAAAGGTACATAGTGCACAGTTAGAACTTATTATGTACCGGTAAAAATTACGGTACCGGTAACCGAAAAAACAAAGTATTTCATATTGTTTCGGCGCGCATATTGTGTTTTGTATATGCTGAAACGGTTAAACTATTTCGATATCTGACTAGAAAATCGAAAATTGACAATTTGTATACTTTGTGTGGCTAAACGTTTAGCAGTGCAATATGTTATTTAAAATCATAATAATAAGACACTGCCACTATAAAAGTTTCTAACTACGCTAGACGACTATAGAAGTTAATAAATAGATACGTCAATTAAGAAAACTATACGTTAAAAAATCCTTTTGAATTTCTAAATCGGATTGTGTTAAGTTTACAATCACATCGCACAGATAAAGTAAAATTTGGAATCGAGTCACTTTTTTAGTGTCACATGTAGTATTTGTTCACCGGACTTTAAGCGTCAATTGTCACATAGAACACGCACGTAGAAAAAAGTCCTAGTAAAAAAAAGTTTCCGGTATTTTTCGGTATTCTGATTTGCTATAAATTCAATTCTCATGCAATAAAAGGCGTATAGTTTTCTCAATAATCACTAAACGACCATTTACCAAAAGTTAAGTGTCACACTTTAATATCTAAGTTAATTAAAATATTATTTATATTATTATCTTTTAAAGCTACCACATTACGTCGCATTGTTAAGAATAGAAAAAAAGATAATTATGCTTTTTAATTTAAGCGGAAGAGAAATCACAAAATTTCTTTCTCTTACTATACTATTGACGAGTCGACGCATTTAAGTATAGCAATCAATATTGTGAATAGTTTTAACAGCTGTTTCTGAATTTAATATGGACAGTTCGTGTGCATTTAATTACTTGTGCAATATGTGAACGGCAGGAAAGGTTAGTACGGAGTTTTGAGCGTAATATTTTAGGTATTATTATAATTATTAAAATTTGTGAAATCTCACACAATTTTATGTTTTTCAAAATAATAAAAAAGAGAGAAGTTTTTTTCAACACAGCACTTTATAAGGTTTGCTGTATTTCAGAAAACGTAACCGTTAACATGAATAAAATTTGCTTGTTATGTTTTCCGTTACCGTTATTTATACCGGTACATTGTAAATTCTAATCTGAATGCTTTTTGTCTTCAATTTTCCACTCCCTGCAGCGCCATTAACGATTTTTAGTACTCAAAGTCATTGGAATGCAGCTTACGAAATTTAAATGTACAGAAATAATAAATAAAATCTTGAAAGTACTACATGAAGGAATAACCAAAATATATTTCGATTAGAAAGTCGCTTTAGTATACTATATGCACAGTTAATTAATTGCCCGCGGATTACATAGATCATATCAATAGTATAGTAGCACAATTCACGACAATTTTTTTGCACTCCTGATTTTTTTTTCATTAGAATAAATAAATATTATATAAAAGAAATAAGAAAGCTGTATAATCAAATAATTGTGATTATTAATATTTTTAATTGTAAGCAGGAATAAAATTGTATAGTCTGACTGTCTAAACGCGTCCACGCATTGGGTACACCGCGGCGAGGAGAGGGAGGATGTTCATTTGTTTATCATTATTCAAAGTTTGAAAAAAAGCAGTGATTGCCTAGTTGGGACAACGATTGCGTCCTGAACAGGAGGTCGTAGGTTTTCTCATCGTATAGAAGAAAGTTCATAGGGCTCACTATCTCCAGCCCTAGGCCTAGCCTAAACTGTCTTAGTGATCCGTGCACAAGAGTGAGGCGGACATGAGCTGAGACAGAGAAGAGCAGACTCCCGCCCCTCGCCACGCCCTACCTAGTCGTAGTCGCTTTAAACAGTTATCCAATAATTATTATTTAACATTCTAGTCTTTTTCGTTTGTTTTATACGAACCGTATTGTATTATGACTATGATTCTGTCTTTTAATTTTTTAAGAGTAAAACTTTTAGTTTTCATTTAGCGAAATGAGTTTTTTTAGCTTAAATGTTTATTGTAGATCCGGTTAAATGTCTTGATCGTTACGTACTCGTAATCCGTACACTACGACGTCAAAATATAAGGGTATTTTTGGTTTAAGGTAAGCCCTGTTAATAATAGAAAATTACAAAGGTATAAACACGAGTTTTCTCTTATTGTACTCGTTTCTATCCATTTTAAACAAAAAGTAAACAAACAAGTCACTGACCCGACCATAGACGGTTTAGTGATGACTAATTTTACTGCCAACCTCAAATCAATTATTAACTGAATGAATCGATTTGTTTAATTGAGTTATAGTAGCGGTTTTCATTACATATAACATTTACACATATTACCATTGACTTACAAATAAATGGACGACGGGTCTAATACAAAAACCACCAAAAAAAATGTCCCAAGTCAACCTATTTAAACGTAGTGACGTGTAAAGGAATATGAAAAAGCTAAAACGTTGAATTTAAATTGTAATGTCATCGCAGTACTGTCTAATTTTGCTTGCTTCGCTGTCAGTCGAACAAACGAAGACTAAAGCGTGAATGACGCTCTGTATACGATTTTAACGCCCTATAAGTTCGGACACTTTTTAGCGCGGACCCGACGTCCATATAATTGTAAGTCAATGCATATTACATTAAAATTTCCGAAATATTAATTTCAAATCAATATACTTAGATACTCGTTCGATTGCGATTGAAATTTTCGATTTACTAATCGATTATTTAATTGAATGAACGGAATGTTTTTTTCCGTGCAACACTATGCAACTATAGACTATTCATTTATCTTTAATTAAAAAATAACCTCACTTTTTGACTACGTACCATTTTTCAAATACGCTTTTACGATGTTATTGAAATGAAAAAATGAAATATTGTTGGAAATATTGATGAGAT